GTGCCCTACCGTTATGGCTTGTGTCTAGCTGTTCCCCCAAAGCCTCATGCAGTCATAGGTGGAGCTTTTTGGAGGTGTCTGCATCTAGGGTGTGTGATTCTGGGATGAAAGATGTGATGCTGGGATTGATTCATGATTCACGTGATGCTAGGATTAAGGATGCCCCATCCTGGGTGTGAGTGCTACCTGCGCTAAGGGTGGGGAGCCTTCGTAAAATATAAAGACCAGAACAAAGGCTGTAGTTGTCCTGCTTGCTGCTTCTTTGCTACTTAGTTGCTTTGCTGCCTTCATGCCTTCTGCCAGCTATGACCCATTTCTCCTCTGCAATGCCCCTCTGCCATACCACCCTGCCTTGGAGCCAGCTGTTTATGGGCTGAAACCTCTACAAACTGTGAGCAGAAATAAACTTTTTCTCCTTTAGTTTTGAGTGTTGGGTATTTTGTCTCAGCAATGAGCAAAATAACCAAAGCACCTCCTCATGGGAGTGGGGGGATGGACAATCCATCTCCCCCCACCAGGCACCCTTACAAGCATCGCTCAGCCCTGGGCCAAGGATGTGCCCCACATCCCTTAGCAGCCTTCGTGGACCTATCCTTGCCCTCCTGTGGGCAACTTAATGGATAGTTATTTGATTGGTAGGGTTCTCTCTCTCCCAACCTAGGAACTATCATGTGATAGGTGCTCAGTAAATATTTGTGTAATGGATACATGAAACAAGGGGTGCTGGTCTTTGAACTTTGTGGGGGTTTCCAAATAGTTTCAGCTGAAGAGCTTTACAACACCTATTACCTTCCCCTGTTTATAATAATGGAAATACTGGAAAGGACCCAAATGCCCATCATAGAGGACTTCGTTTAATTAAATGTTTCATTTTCTTTTTGAGACAGGGTTTCACTATGCAGTTCAGGATGGCTTTGAACTGACGACGTAGCCCAGGCTGGCCTCAAACTCTCAAGGATCTTCCTGCCCCAGCATCTGAGTGCTGGGATTACAAGTGTGTGCCACCATGCCTGGCATGATTAAATGATTCTTAAAAAAACCATTATGCAGAAGAGCACAAAAGAAAACTAAATTCATAAAAGAGTGTATTTACCTTATGTCAAGTGAAAAAAAATCAAAGCATGAGGGCCGGGGACTTAGCTCAGTGTCACCGCTCCTGCCTCACAAGCACAAGGTCCTGAGTTCGATCCCTGGTACCAAAAAAAAAAAAATCAAAGCAGAAGGTATATGAAAATCTCAGGATATAAAAGATCTATCTATTGATTAGAACAATACAGCACATACATATATATATATATATATTTAGCTTATGCATATATTAACAGTGATTACTACCAATGGGTAGGATTAGAAGGTAATACTATTTTTTTTTTTTTTTTTGCTTCTTGAGACAGCGTTTTACTGGCCTTGAACTCACTATGTAGCTCAGGCTGGCCTCGAACTCATGGTGACCTCCTGTCTCAGCCTTCCAAGTGCTGGGATTACAGATGTGTGGGACCACCCCCAGCTAGAAGGTAATACTTTTATTTTTCTTTTCTAAAAGGTCTGTTTGATTTTTTGAATTTATTTTATTTTATTTTTGGTACCGGGGATCGAACTCAGGACCTTGTGCTTTCGAGGCAGGTGGCAGCACCATTGAGCTAAATCCCCGGCCCTCTGTTTGATTTTTCTAAAAAAAGTATCAAATATATCCAGAAAAAAGCAAAAAATGGAGATAGAAAAGTAAATTAGTTGCTGCTTGTGGTTAGGAGTGAATAGAGATAAACAGTAAAAGGATAGGAGGGATCATATGGAGATCCATAAAATATTCTAAATGTTCTGAAACTGATTCATGTTCATGTTATTACCACTTGGTAATATTATAAAAAATCACTGAATTGTACACTTGAAATGCACACTTTAATGACAAGTAAATATACCTCAATAAAATTGTTAAAAATGTATTATATGTAGCTAGGTGTAGTGGTACACATCTGTAATCCCAGCACTTAGGGAGGCTGAAGCAGGAGGATTGCAAGTTTGAGTCATGTCTGGTCAATTTAGTGAGACTCTGTCTCAAAAATAAAAAATAAAAAAGGGCTGGGATATAGCTCAGTGGTAGTGCACCCCTGGGTTCAGTCCCCAGTATGTCCCCTCAGAAAAGTTTTATATGTGTGTATGTAACCTTAAAGGTTAAAAAACAGTACATAAGTATTTCAAGTCCTCTGTTCCTCACACCGTGTGCTACCTCACAGGCATAACCAGGAGTGATTGGTGTTTAATCTTTTCTGACTTTTTTCTATACAGAATCCATCATACAAGTTATAGACACATAATTTTCTGTAACTTTATTTTTCTCTGGACATATAATGTGGGACATGAAAAATTTAATATTAGCTGCTGTAGGAGATGGGGTTGTGGTAGGAGTGGAGTCAGCAGACAGGGAGAGGGACACTTTAACTTTTAAACTTCCTTTACTTTTGTATGTTTTCATCATGAGTGTTTGGGGTTACAAACCCTCAAAATATATTGAAATAAAAGATACTCTTGAATCCTTAATGCCACAGATTTAAAAGGAATTAAAAAATTTTTTTTTTTTTTTTTTTGGTACCAGGGACCGAACTCCGGTCCTTGCACTTGCAAGGCAGGCGGCAGAACCACTGAGCTAAATCCCCGGCCCCCAGGAATCAAAAACTTTTACTGAGTGCTGGACACTGTGCTGAATACCTTAGATGTGTTCTCATCAACTTTGTATGACCACCCTTTGGGGTATGCAATGTCATATCTTATGTGACACATGAGACCTAGATTTCCCTAAATCATAGAGCTAGTCTGCAATGAACCTGGATCTTCACACAGTGTCTCTTCTCCCTTGGCAGATTTATGTTTATCCCACAAAACCCACCTTTAAGGCCAGGCGGGGCAGTGCATACCTGTAATCCCAGTAGCAACTGGGGAGGCTGAGGCAGGAGGATCGCTGAGAGTTTGAGGCCAGCCTGGGGTACACAGTGATTTTCAAGGCCAGCCCAAACTACATAAGGAGATCCTGTCTCAAAAAACAAAACAAACAACCAGACAAACACACCTTTAATGATCCCATCTCCTGTGCACTGTAGTCTTCTTTAACCTACTCAGGCAGAAAGATGAGCCCGTCTGCATATCGTTGAACTACCCAGGGAGGAGACAGAAAAGTAAACCATAGTAGTCTACTGCCCTAAGAATGCCTGGTTTAACAGGCTACCCACACTGACAGTTTAGATCAGTGGTGGTGAACCTGTGGCACTCTAAGAGGTTTGCCATCACTGGTTTAGATCAGGGGTCTGATAGCAGCTAGGGAGCTCCAGGAAGAATATGTTCTGAGCTGGTTGATGGGAACACCTAGAAGATTTTCAGGAGGATAAAAGAAGAGGTAAAGGATGGGTGGTCAGAGGTAGGGATTTAAGGCCTAGCACCTACCTCAGGAGGCTCAAAATTGGCACACACTCTGGAAAGGACTGTTCTGTAGTTCAGAGTAGCTAAGGGTCAAGGACAGGCAAAGGGAAGGGTGTGTGCCTTGAAGCCAAGGCCTGAACACCAAAGCCTTTTTATGTGCAATTGCCGCATTTACACTTTATTCTGCAAATGGAGTGGAGCTGTTACTCTCACCCCTCAGGGGACTGTTGTGGGAGGTCCCTCTTGCAGCTACTCGGCCTTTGGCAGTCAGGTCCTTTGCCTTAGGCTAGGAATTGCTTTAGGGTAGACTTTGTCTGACTCAAATTGAAGATGGTCAGGAGGTACTGGGCCCACACTCAAGGCCTAGGAGGTCAATGAGGTGTAGGTAGGAGTAGCAAAGGTGATATGGTAATTTCTGTTCAGTGTTTGCTGTGTGCTCAGTATGGGGAATTGAACCCAGGGCCTCGAACATTCTGGGCAGGTACCGTACTGTGGCGCTGAGGTACATCCTCAGAACTCGGGTCCTTGCAGGCAGGCGGCGGAACCAGTGAGCTAAATCCCCAGCCCAACTAATTTTTTTTTGGTACCGGGGATCGAACTCGGGACCTTGGGCTTTCGAGGCAGGCGGCAGAACCACTGAGCTAAATTCCGGGCCCTCAGCTCATTGAGGTTGGTTCTTGCCAAATTGCCTAGGCTGGCCTGGAACATGTGATCCTCTTGCCTCAGCCTCCCGTATAGCTGGGGGATTACAGGGCGTTTGCCACCATGCTCCGCCACATCTATTGTTTTGTGGCATGTTTCCAGGAGCTCCTAGTATCCCTGGTCGAGGATCTGGGGCTCAGAGTGGTTCTGTAACTTGGCCAAGGTCACAAAGCTGGCAAGTGGTCGGGGAGCGGAGGCTGAGGCTCCAAATGTTTTAATAAGTCAAAGCGCTGGTCTGCCTTTCCTCCCCTGGGGAGGCCTTGCGGCGCCTCTTCCGTTTGCGTAGTCGCTGGGGTCTTGGAGCATCCCACCCAGGGGCGCGGGGCCGGAGAGGCCTGATCCCCGCCTCCGCCAGGAGCCACTCCCAGGTTCGGAAGTTACGAAGTTTCCGTGCACTTCGCTCGTCTCCCGGCGCAGCTCGCCTCTGCTCCCCAGCTGTTACGCCGCCGGCGCAGCGGGCTCAGGTGCTGCTGCTGCGGGCCGGGCCCAGCGCGGGGAGGGAGGGGGGACGCAGTTTACGTAAGCGTCCTCTCGCAGGTGCCTGCTGCCCCTGCCGGCGTGTGCTCCTTGCGCGCTCCCAGGTGCGCAGTTGGCGCAGGCTGCGGCGGCGGCGGGCGCTGGCCGGCGCTCTCAGGTGCGGCAGAGCGCGCGTGGAGGGGCGCGCGGCGAGCGAGGGGCGGGCTTTCCGTTCCCCAGCAGCCGCGGGGCCCGCCCCTCGGCTCGGCCAATGGACGCGGTCGGTGGCGTCACGTGCTTGCCGCCGCCACCGCTGCCGCCGCCGCCGCCGCCGGAGAGAGGACCGGAGACGCGAGCGCCACCAGGGCAAGCAGCCGCCGCAGCCGCCGCCGCTGGGCTGAGGAGCCGGAGACGCGGGCGGGCGAGGTGGCGGCGGCGGCGGAGCGGGAGCGGGCACCGGGCGCGGGCAGAGCGCGGCGGCGCGGGTAGGCTGCGGCATGGAGGCGCCTGCGCGGCGGGCTGTCCCGGGCGGGCGGTTGAGGCGGCGGTTGAGGCGGTTGGCGGAGACGGCCCGGGCCCCGCATTGTTTGTTGTGCGTCCTTAGCAGCAGCGGCGGCGGCCGAGGCCGCGGCGGGGAGCGGGACGCAATCCTGGCCCCGCGGCTTGGGCATTGTGGTCGCCGCCGCCGTCGCGGTCTCCGTCGCGGTGCCCCGGCAGCCCAGGGCAAGGGCAGCGAACAGCCGCCTCACCTCGGGGGACAGGACCTGGCCCTGGGCTCCTGGAGGGCGTGGGCAGCGCGGGTGCGGACGCCAGCCGCGCCGTGTAGGGTGGAGGGCGAGGGGCTCCGGGCAAGTGTTGGAGGACATTGCGGGCAGGAGCGAGGGGAGAGGCTCCGGGGCGCGTGAAGGGTGTGGGCAGGCTCGGGGAAGATCAGGGGTCGGGGGGCTTGGCCCTATGGAAGGGAAGCGGCTTCGTGCAGGCGGGGGGGGGGCGGGAACCCAGGCGGGCCGAGAGGGATGGAGGACATTCTGGCGGGTGAGGGGGGACTTTGGGGAGGGTCGGGGCGAGTGGGATGGTAATGGAGGCAGAAGATTGGGGATCGGGGCAGGAATGGAAGGAGCTGAAGCCCGGGTGAGCGCAGGCTGCGTATGCGGGGCAGGGAGTGGGGCAGATACCTGGTGAAGGCCACGGGACGCATGAAGGGGAATGGTGGAGGAGGGGTTGGGGTTGGGGGAAGCGTGGCCGACAGGCTGAGCTCCAGAGGGAGGGACGGAGGGGAGGCGGTCGTCTAGGGGGTCTCCTGAGTGGTGGTGGGGGAAATGGAGTGTTCGGCCAGGAGGCCCAGGCTCTCTGGAGACCTGAGAAGGTGTTTGGCTAGGTGGTATTTAGGGAGCCAAGGGGAGGCGCAGGGTTTGACTGGCTAGGGGAGAAGAAGTAGGTGTCTTGTCTGGTGCTCTGGGGAGAGGGATATGGGGTGGAAGGAGGAGGGTGGTTGGACTAGGGGCTGAGTGTGAGGGGTTTGGGAGTGAAATGGAGACAGTGAGGTAGGGCAGTTTGGGTGAAGAGAATGTGTTTGGCTCTGGGTGTGTGGGACAGTAAATAAGCTGCAGGAGTGAGTGAAATGGAGGTTGTTCACGTGGGAAATACAGATGGGGCAGCAGGCAAGGAGTTTAGGGGGAACACTAGATGGGATAGGTGTGAGTGAGGTGGTGGGCTAGAGGGGTGGAGGTGAGAGGAGGGAAATGGTCTTGGAGTGGCAGCGAGGTGTGGGGACAGATTGAAGGAAATGTTTCTAGGGCTGGAAGTGTGGAGAGAAGTTGGGGAGGAGAGGGAGATGAGGGTGTATAAAGGGAAGTCAGAAAAAGTCTGTGGGTAGGATGGATTGGGAGGCAGGGTGTACAGGTCGGGTGCCCAGTGTGGAGGGAGGGAAGCACAGGTTTGGGGCACAGTATGGAGAAGAGTGGGCAGGTGACAGTGGAAAGGAAGGAGGAAAGAGGATATTTTGGGGTAGAGGATGTAAAGGAATGCATAGTGGGTAAGGTCAGGGCAAGGCAGGGATGTGTGGGCATGTCTGTGACTAGAAAGGAACAGGCATATGGGATTTGTTGGTGGTAGGGGAAGTAGGATGCCCAGGTTCAGGGCAGGAAATAGCTATTTAGGTTGGAGAGAGGAAAATAGGTTGCTTAAGAGTATGGAAGGTCCAAGGTGTGGAAGTATGGGGAAAGATGGGAACAGTTTGAGTCTTGAGATTAAAGGGTTCAAAAATTCTAGGTCGTTAAAAGTATAAGGAAGGGAGGAAAAAAAGAGGATTAAATTCCAAATTTAGAGGAACTGGAGATGGGGGATAGGGACCAGGAGATGTGGATCCTAGAATGATGTCAATGGAAAATGGAGGATATTAAAGCATGTGGCATATCAGGAAGTTTATGCTTCTAGAATCAGAGATCATGAAGCCTGATTTTTAGTTCTAGAACCAGTGAATGAGGAAAGGCTAAGGAAAAGTTGCCCACTCTCAAGTTTGGAGGAGGTGTGACATGAATCCTCTAGCATAATTGTCTGATGAGTGGACAGATAGAAGAGCCACACAGGGTCATGAGGAGTGTACTGAAAGTGAATTGAAATTAGCTTGCAGCAGGTGCAGAGTAGATGTCTTTGTAAAGCTTGGAAGAGAGCAGGGCCCAGCAGCCAGTATCATTCAAAGACTGAGTGTAAAAGAGGGAGGGAGGGTTACCTTGGTGCAGTGTCTCAGATACCCTGGTGTTTTCTGGGAAATGGGACAGTATTCAGTGATTGGGTGTTGTAGTATCTGAGTTCTGTGCTACAGGCTGAGGGAAGTAATGTATACCCAGCTCCTAAAATTGGTAGAAAGGAAGTCTGTTGAGTCTTTTAACACTCTTTAAAACCTTATATTGAGTTGTTGGCTTTTTCTCCCAAATAGTTCAAATAAAATTTGGTTGGAGGATTTTGGATTGTCTGGTATTTTGATTTATATAGGGTATTGTGATACTGGCTTTATTTATTGTTATTTTTATTTATTTATTTATTTTATTTATTGTTATTTTGAGGCAGGGTCTTGGTATGTAGTTCAGACTGGCCATGAACTCACTATGTAGCTAGGCTGGCCTTGAACTTTCAGTAATCCTCTTGCTTCAGCCTCCTGAGTGCTGGGATTATAGGAATGCACCACAATGCCTGGCCACTTTATTGAGGAAGACATTTATGGAGTTGGGTGGACATTTGGCCATCAGCTTGCCAGACACATGGGAAGTAACCTTTAGGTGTTTGATCGAGCACAGATACTGCAGTGCCTGTCTCATTCAGTGTTCTGTGTCTTGTGTTAGATACTTTGGGGTTTGGAAGGATTAAGCAAACTGCTTTGACACTGCTTCAGTAAGCAGGGCTTCCTCAGACTCTTGGAAAATGATTTCCCTTTTGACAGTTGAAAATTCATCTTGACAGATTTTGCTAAAAAGTAAATTTCATCGTATTACAGAAGTAACTTCAGTTATCACTCTGTGGGCTTCATGAAGTGTGTAGTATGGTAGCTAGTATGATTTCAAATAAAAGATCTGTTTTGGAAACTTGGACGCTTTCTGTGTTGCCTAGTTTTTTATTTTTTTTTTGTCAATTTAGGAAGTATCTTAATGCAGCCATTGTACATTCAAGTAATGTTTGAGTGAATGTGGGAATCTTGCCTAAACATAATGAGGGCTGAGCAGAGGAACAAATTTTAAGTAATCTGAATCCGTAAATATAAATATTTAAAATATAAACAAAGCTAATGATTTTTTAAATTCTTTTTTTTTTTTTTTTGAGATAAGGTTTCACTATGTAGTTCAGGCTGACCTTAAACTCACTTTGAAACCTGGGCTGGCCTCAAACTTGTGGTGATCCTCCTGCCTCAGCTTCCTGCGTACTGGGATTACAGATGTGTCCCGCTATTCCTGGTTTAAAATCCATACTTGACGCCTGCCTCGAAAGTGCAAGGACCTGAGTTCGATCCCTGGTACCAAAAAAAAAAAAAAAATCCATACTTGAAGTGTGTCATGCAATCATCAAAATAATGCTCAGAAATCATTGCTGCAAGATTTTATTTTGGAAGAAGAGGCTTTTAAGTATAGTATGTCTTTGAAATTTTTGTAGTATTTTGAGGTTTGGTACATGTATAGAATAGGAAGCATATTTGGCCCCCTTTGCTCCTTGGCAGAGATTTGAGCAGTAAGATATGAAGACTAAAGTGACCTTTGATAATTTTCTCCAATATGGCCATTGTTTACATCTTGTATCTTTTAAGTCCATTGTGTTAGTTTGTTTTATGAATTTTGGGTAAGCAGTACTTTCTTGACTAAAATATTCAACTCTGGGTGTGGTAGTAGACACCTATGATTGGAGCTAGAGAGGCCAAGACAGGAGGATCGAAAATTTGAGGTCAGCCTGGGAAACAGACGGTGTCTTAAAGTAAAACATAAAAAGGTCTGGTGATGTAGCTTAGTTTGGGTCCAGTCCCCAGTAATACACACACACACACACACACACACACACACACACAGAGTAAAAAGAAAAACCCTTAATTCTGCATGGTGATCTGATTAAATGTGTTGTTCTGTGATATTCTGTAGCCTGAGATAATTTGTGGGCAATTTATACAATATTATCCTAAGTTTATGAACCAAAAAAGGCAGGGTTTTTAGACTTTGTAGGCTAAATAATTGGATTCTGGTTTTATTTTCATTGGTGGCTTGCTGGGCAAGACACTTAATCCCTTTGTGCTTGTTTCTTCTGCAGAAACCTGACTCTTTATCTACCTCCAAGGAGTGTTGAGATAGTTTATATGAAACAAGTTTAAGTCTTTTGAGAAGGATAGAACTATGTAAATATGGGGATTGGTGTTATTTCTTATTTCCCTTTTCCCCCTCTGGTTTTTAGACTGGTCAGATATTAATCAGTACTTCATATTTTGCCATTAAGTAGATTAATTTGTTGTGAGAAACTTGGTTAGAGATGAGACTGCTGTGAATAAATATCGGTATGCCTGCAAATTGAAGTTTGTTCATTGTTTGCTGTACTCTGTCCTCACCTTCCTGGTTTATTTCTGTAGCCCAGGGTTGGTACTTTTGAATTCTTCATCCACAATAGAAGCTTGTGAAGACATTCTGAGTTCTAAGTGTAAGTCAAAGATTGTTACCCAGCATGATTTCCAGAGACAGAATACTTCTCTTGCTCATAAATTTAATTTTTTTTTTTTTTTGGTACTGGGGATTGAACTCAGGACCTTGTGTTTTTGAGGCAGGCGCGGTGCCACTGAGCTAAATCCCTGGTTATAAATTTAATTCTTAAATCAGAAACAATAAGTATATATTTTTGTATGTATTTTGCAGAAAATTGATTAATTTCAGTGACTTGAATAGAAGAATAGAGCTATTGCTTCTGCTCATGTGTGCGTTGAACTTCTTTGTTCTGACTTACTGAGTATTTTCCTTTTTAA